GTTGAGAAATGAGAGAAAATGAATGTTATATGATTGCATATCATTGGTGCGAAGATTGGGACATCTCTAGGGGTCATATATATAGAGGATGAGGGGTTGTTATTGAAATGTTACGCCCCAAGCTTAGCAACTCTTGCCAAGGTCGTACCATTCATTGTCACTAGCCTGTTGCCATCGCCTTGCTCGAGCGATAAAAATAGTGACTTTTTCGCTAGCCTGTTGTTGGCCTGTCGCTCAAGCAACGACCCAACCAGAAGCTAGCAATAACCTTAGTCAATTTTCCGGACAGCTTCCTCTATTTTCTTCCCAATTTTGGACCCAATTTCTCATTCATCCGGAATTGATTTTGAGATTCTAAATATACCATGACAATCTACTGACGAGTAGAGCAAGTTGATTTATTTACTTTTGTAATTTGACCATCGGATCAAAGTCCGAATATTTGGCTGAAGTTGACACGAAAGTGACTTTTTCCAAGTTTTGGTTTAATCACTTGACCAAATTTCAATCTTTCAAACCAATTTCCAACAGGATTTTCGGGCCTGATTCTGAGTCATATAGGGTGAATTACACCTCGCATCAACTATAACTTTTGAGCACATTGATTGCATCTTTCTACATCAATAAAAGAAAGAGATGAACAATGAATGTTCAAATAACTCTTCAAAATGTGTACAATTTGATATATCCTTCATCGTGTAAATACAACTCTGTTTTAAAGAAAATAATCCTATAGGCCTAACAAGTAACGAACATGCAACTTAAGTAAAAGCTAGTGGACTAGCTTCGTTCTCCTGCATCAGTGTCCCAATCTGTTGAAGGATTCATCCAGGAATCCAAGGAGATGGAATTAGAACATGTTTGGATGTCTTCATGTTGGAATTGTGCCACAATCAGTGAGAGAAACAAATCCCTTAATCCATGGAATGGAATATAGTTGTTAGACAACTAGCATTACTCTATAAGATTAGATAGTATATTCCCTTTGTACTGTGTAACAATATCCATCCCTTAACTTGTATATATATATCAGTGTAAATGCAACAGGAAATAAATCCTTTCTTCAATCTTCAATTTCATTATTATTCTCTACTTGGTATCAGAGCCATAGCCAGTGCCGGTTCAGCAAATCCAGCCATTTCCACTGAGCTAAACACCATAGCTACCACACAAACCAGTATACTTCAGACTTCTCCATTGGGAATGAACCTCATTCAAACTCCCTCTATGAAGCTAGATAAGAACAACTTTCTATTATGGCAAAATATGGTAATGCCTATAATCAAAGGTCATCACCTGGAAGAATATCTGTTGGGAACAAAGCCGTGTCCCCTAGAATTTGTTGCTACTCAAACCGTCACAGGTGAAGGAGGTTCTGTAAAGATGTCTCAGAACTTTGAGTATAGCAAATGGATCTCGACTGATCAATTGCTAATGGGGTGGCTATACTCTTCTATGACTCCTGAAATTGCCATGAGAGTCATGGGCAGCACCAGCTCCAGCAAATTATGGAGTGCCATCAAAGAAAGCTACGGCATAATGAATAGGTCACGAGTGACTTTTCTCACTGGTGAGTTACAGAAGGCCAGAAAGGGGCCTATGTCAATGGATCAGTACCTGGCAAATGTCAAACAACTAGCTGACAATTTGCAAATTGTTGGGAAGACAGTTGATCATGAAGTAACACAAGTCCTTACTGGGCTAGATGAAGAATATACGCCCATCGTGGTCCAAATCAACAGCAGAGATACTATTTCTTGGCATGCACTCTCATCTGTGCTTATGACTTTTGAGAGTAGGCTTGAGTATCTTGATCAATTAAGGAATGAAATGGCTTCAATAAACATCAATCAGTCCAGTGTGCAATTAGCTCAAAGAAGTGGACTAAGAAGTGGTCGTTTCAGCAGAACTGGGAGGTTCTCTAATACCAGAGGCAGAGCCAGAAGAGAAAGATCAGGCAGACCAGCTGAAAATCTAGGTCCATGCCAAATATGTGGCCTCAGCAATCACTCAGCTAGCTGGTGTTATAATCAGTATGATGATCGCTTCATGGGAAGCAGGCCAAGCACTCAGACGAGAACCTCATCTCCTTTAGCTTATATTACCTCACCTAGCACCTTTGAAGATTCTACCTGGTTTGCAGACTCAGGAGCTAGCAACCACGTAACTGTCGACAAGAGTAATATGGTAACTGCCCAAGAGTATGGAGGTAAGCAAAAATTATTTGTGGGAAATGGAAATTGTTTGAATATTGCTCATATTGGTGTAGCTGATATTCCCACAGTAAGTAATAAAACTCTTACACTTAACAATTTGTTGCATGTACCTGCCATTAAAAAGAACTTGGTTAGTGTTTCACAATTAACATTTGACAATAACGTATTCATGGAGTTTTATCCTCATTATTGTGCTGTTAAGGACCTGCAATTGAAGAAAACACTGCTACAAGGGAAACTTAAAGATGGACTATATCAGCTGCAGGTACCTGCCTTGAAGTCTAACCCTGCAATCAAAGAGTCAAGACACCAAAATAAGTCAAATCTTGCAGCCCTATCAGTGGTCTCAAGTTGCAGTCAGTCCCCACCAAGTGTCAAGTTGTCACAGTTAAATTCTTGGCATAGGAAACTAGGCCATCCATCTAATTCTGTGTTGAGTAGAGTATTGAAGTCGTGTAATAAATCTATCAAAGTAAATGAAATTCCAAGTTTCTGTGAAGCTTGTCAGTTGGGGAAATCACGTGCCTTACCTTTTAATAATTCTACTTCACATGCACAAAATCCTCTAGACTTAATACATAGCGACATCTGGGGACCTTCACCCAAGAAATCTACCTCAGGGTTTAGATACTACATCTTGTTTGTGGATGACTATAGTAGACACATCTGGATTTATCCTATGAAGCAAAAATCAGAAGCCTTAAGTGCCTTCATTCAATTCAAACAAATGGCAGAAACCAAATTTGAGAGAAAGATAAAAACATTACAATCGGACTGGGGTGGTGAGTATAGGGATTTTGACCAAATAGCCTTACAATCAGGCATTCAACTAAGGTACTGTTGCCCCTATACGCCTGCACAGAATGGGAGAGCAGAAAAGAAGCATAGGCAGGTGTTTGAAATGGGGTTAACACGGCTAGCTCAAGCCCATATGCTACTTCATTACTGATGGGAAGCCTTCACAGCAACCACTTACCTAATTAACCGTTTACCTACTCCCATACTTCAACACAACTCACCATATCAAACCTTGTACAAGAAGACTTTTGATTACACCACACTAAAACCTTTGGCTGTACCTGTTACCCCTGCCTTAGACCATATCAGG